CCAGGATGCTGCCGGCCGTTCCGCTCAATTGGCAGAGCTGAACGTCAAATTTAACACCGCCTACACCATCGCCAAAGAAGAGCTTGCCTTTACTAAATTTAAACCTATGTTGCAGCTCATGAAAAAGAATGGCGTTGCGATCAACATGACGTATGCAAATGACAAATCATGTGCCAATATCATCGGCGTGATAGCAGATACCATCTGCGAGAACACCACAGTTAAAGTATCGTCAGCTCAGTACATCTCTTTCATTATCGATGGAGACACCGACCTGTCTGTCAAGGAGTTTGTGATAGTGTATGTCTGCGTCCTGCTTGATGGACAGCCCACAAACATCCTCGTCGGACATGTTGAGGTGGAACACGCAAATGCTGATGGTGAGGATGTTTTATTATTATTATTATTATTAATACAGAGCCTATTTTGGGTTTTCTATTGTAATTGGTAGAGCTGCATGGTTCTGGATAAATTGAGAATCACGTTTTTTGTTTCAAACACAGATCACGATTCTCCCACGATTCTGAACAACTAAACAAAATAACATGTAATTTACTAAAGGTTCTGACAAAATGTAAATTGCTGGAGTCTATTTAAAATGTTTAATTAATCTGAACGAATGATTTAAAAAATCTGTTTGAATAAATAATTCAATGACTCGCTCATAAATACTTCACTTGTTTTATTACGGGATGAATCAGTGTTTTTTGAACGAATCTCTTCAATGAATGATTCAATGGCAAATACATTTTATAACAGTCACTTGTCAACACCTGGTGGCGTAACGATGTAATCGATATACAATTGTTATTTGAAGTTATGTATTACTTTCAAAAGGTGCTGTGCTCTATTTTGATCGCTTCTGTAGACGCCAGTGTTTATATTCAAACTATAAACTTTTATTCATATGTAATAGGCAAATTGTTGTCATTTAGGAATGATATCACAATGTTTTAATGATTAATCGTGCAGCTCTAGTAACTGGATTTCTTTGTTAAATGTAATTGTTAAATCATTAATGCTGTTAACCCTGTGTAAACAGTATTTAAACCAGTGGGAATTATTTTAGGAATCTATGCTGCCACCAAGTCAGCATTTGCCGGTCTTGGAGAGTCATGCCAGGGCTGGCTCCAGAAGACAGTGGCCATGGGAGCTGATGGAGCAGCCGTGAATCTTGGGAGGAAGGGAGGAGTATCAGTGAAACTCCAAGAGGAGGCGGGAAAGCACATCATCCCATTTCACTGCATGCCTCATAGGCGAGATGATAATGGTCATTAACTCCCAGATAAAAAAAATATATATAAGGCTCTCTGTCTTGATAGCAAACTGAAATGTCAGATTTGTTCACTATTATAGATTGGAGCTTGCCCTACAATCTGCCCAGAAGGATTCACCTTGGGTAGGCAATGTGTACAACCTGCTCCACTTAATTTGGAAGACTTACCACTTCAGCTCAAAATCCAGAAGGGAGTTAAAACACCTTGGAGTTGAACTGGATGTGTCGGTGAACAATCCAAGTGGAGTCAAGGGGACAAGATGGTTACCACATGTATCCAGGGCATTGGATGTGCTCCTGAAGCAAGGGAAGGAGGGGACCCTGGAAGATGCTGGGCAGTACACAGCTGTATATGCTCATATGGACCACCTGGCTGCATCATCAACGAATGCCGATATAGCTGGCAGAGCAAAGCATGTAAGTGTAAACTATAGGTAGTAATGTTCATGTGTGGAAATTGCCCCTGTAAAGTGAGTTAAAGGGAGGGGAGTGTATACATTTGCTGTGTTCTTCCATGCAGGTCAAAGAGACCATGGAGGATGGCTCATTCCTGGCATTCTGTCATTTCTTGGCAGATTTATTTTCTGCCATCAGTAAATACAGTCTATTACTGCAAAGAAATGATGTGATCCTCCCCCAGGTAAGCTTTACCTAGTGGTCAAAGAATAAATCATCATTATTTGAAATCTCAGTTCTTTGCCATGTTAAGAGTAAACAAAGTTATGTTTAGATGGAAACGCATTAACAGGCAGTCAGCAGCTTGAGGAACCTTATCCTCAACATTGAGGCAATGGCTCTGAGGCCATGTCCAAGTGGCAGGCTGGCTTCCTTCCATGCAGCCATGAAAAGGCAGAGAGATGCTAGGGAGCAGGAGCAGGAAATGCAGCCTCAATTTATGTTTCGGGTACATCCTTTATAATCCTTTTTGAAAGCATTCAATTGATGGTCATACAGGAAAGCCTTACTGACCATTTTAATGTTAATTAATGTGTGTCATGAGGTGTCTTGTGGGGACAGGATATAACATGAATAATATTTGTAGTGTAGTGTAATTATTTAAAAACTGAAATCTAATAGCATTTATAATCATTTCATTAATTTGTAATGTACACTGTTCATTCTCAATTTCAAAAGGAGTTCCTTTGAGGAAAGGAGAGGCAGGGAATATGGCTAAGGATGGGCCAATCAGTGAGACTGCTCCCAGACTGCAGAAGCAGATAGAGACCACTGTTGCTGCAATAGTTAAACAGCTCCGTCTCCAGTTCAGCAGCCTACTTTGTATGTTATTAAGATCAGGATGACTAACATTATATGTAAATTATTAACCTGCACTGAAAGAGATATAAAAATATATATAATTATTATAGAAGCATCTTTAGGTCAGGAGGGACCTGGAACAGACAATGCAGCAAACAAAGCGGTCCAATGTTTCCAGGTGTTCAACCATGATGTCTGGCCAGAGACATTGGAGGAGTTGGTTGATTATGGAATTGAGGAGGTTTTTCTTGAGGAGAATTGAGGACCATTTTCAAGTTGTACTGGAAAGGTAATTCATATCAAAATATAGACTTCTGATCGTTTTTGTTAAAAGCTTTAAGCATTTAAGAGCCAACCAGTTACAGTTGGATTGTATCTAATTAAGGAATGCCTGTGACTGTGCACTTGCTGAGGAGGAGTTCCAGGCCTTAAAAACTCTGGTGTTCATGTCCTTCAAAGACAAGAGCTACCACGGGTTATGGGAAGTCCTTCTGACCAAGGCACCCTATTGTTCAGATTTACAGGTAGGCTATGTAATATGATGTCGCAGTAGTTTGATCAATGTATTGTAGACTGTTATTATTATTGCATTTTTATTTTTTTGCTGTCGTCACTGAATGCTTCTCAGGGCTCGAAATGAACTTTTTTACTTGGTAGCACTGGTGCTCCAAACTTCAAAATGTTAGGAGCACCAGCAAAAATTTAGGAGCACTCACCAAAAATTTAGGAGCACCACAACTACAAATTATATATTAACAGATTTTATCCTTACATTCTTAACTTTAATGCAGATTTTGTATTGGTTAATATTAGCTGTCAATCTCTCAGTCACTGCTTTCCGCTAACTACTGTGAGAAAAAGAAAGGGCTGAAGAAGAGCGAAAATGAAAAGAACACTAACAGATTTCTTTTGTAAATAACCTAAAGTTAAGTTCTTCTTTGGCGAGGGTTAGGATGGTGTATGCGGTGTTAAATTTTACATTCAGCTCTGCCAGTTGCACCGAACGGCTGGCAGCTAGGGGTGTGCGATATTGACAAAAAATTATATCTCGATATTTTCTGGGATTTTATCGATAACAATAATTTGATCGCACAGATTAAATTTCGGGAGCATATGCGACCAAAATGGTCGCAATTTCGAGCCTTGCTTCTACCTTGACAATGAAATGTAAATGTTTTTTTTTTTTCAGAACATCCTTCATCTGGTAGGGATCATGTTAATCCTTTGTGTCCTCGGCGCAGTGTGAGAGAGGGTTCTCCGTCTAGAAGCGCATAAAGTCAGACATCAGATCTTCATTACACCCCAACACAGTAGAAGATCTGATCCGAATCAGTGTTGAGGGTTCAGTGAAGAGATGGATGGAAGAGAGCCAAAGAGCCAAAAGACCAAATTTTAAATCCTGGCCAAAGGATGTGTAAAGCCCCAGTGATTGTTGGTGTTGATTGGCGTTGTTTTTAAATAAAAGAAATCTGTTAATATATCATTTGTAGTTGTAGTGCTCCTTGATTTTTGGTGGGTGCTCCAAAAATTTTTGAAGTTGGGAGCACCAGTGCTACCAAGTAAAAAAGTTAATTTCGAGCCCTGACTAGGTAATGTTAGTTAGCTAACTTAGCTACTTAAGAGTGGTGGAAGTATTATTCAGATCATCTACTCAAGTAAAGTACTAATACCACACTGTAAAAGTAAAAGTATGAACTATCTGCAAAATGTACTTAAACTATTTATTACTCTGCATGCAAAGAACAAGTTTCATGTTTTATTTTGAAAAGAGAATCTAAGTGTAAAATGACAGTAATATAAGTGTACTCTATAGAATATAATACTACATTTTTTACATAAATAATATTATTCAGTTGACTAAATATCCTTTTTGATTATTAAAATTTTAACAAAATCCAGAAATAAAACAGATTATTATCCCAGGTTTAAAAAAAAAAAAAAAAAAAAAAAAAAAGTTGCATTTGCACCTACTGTAAGGGTGTGCAACTTCAGGGCTTCATGTACTTAGCATTGTTATAATCATTAAAAAAATAATTTTAATTAAAAAAAAACAATTTCCTTCCCTATATACTGTGCTCTAACCCTGTATCTTTAAGAAAATTAAAGAGAGCCTTACTACATTCCCACATGACGTAGATCGAATGCTTATCTTGTATTTAAAGGGGCTGCTGGTGAAAAAAAAGTACACTTCCATAATTTACTTAAAGTGCTCTATTTTCACGCACTAATTTTGTACTTAATATACCAAAAATTATTCTTTAGTACTTCTTAAGATAAACTAAAGTGTGCTCAACTGTGCTATTTTGGGACACCATGAATATGAACCAAAATGTGCTTTTAACACACTATCTCTGTATTTAAAAATGTATTTAGTCACCACTTGTAGTACACATCTTTCACACACTAGTAGCCTCAAGTGGTGACTAAATACATTTTTTAAATACAGAGATAGTATGTTAACACTAGAACTACTGGAATAGAATGGCCATAGCTGTCATTCTGACCGTTCATACTAGACTGAACTGAATAACATTTTTGTCCCATCATATTTATATTCGAAGCTTCTTTCGAGGTTTTACAATGAAGATATGAATGTCTGTCATCATAGTTTATGACGTAATCATCCTAAAAATACAATATTTTTTGTAATATATAATTGTGTAAGAGCTACGTAGACCGCTCCCGAATGTGCGTGCCTCGCTTGTGTCCGGCAAGCGGGAGAGCAAAAGTTTTTCAGCGCAGTGAAAATGTTGTATTTGAAAGTCTAAATGCCAACAAATATGAACTAAAGCCGAATATTTCTGTAGATAAAACATGTTGTGAATTTTGGAAATGATTACATACATCTTTTTTCAATATGTTTTTACTTTTGAACTTTACAACGCTCTGGAGTTATTGGAAATGTTTGGATCACATGAATCAGAAACAATTCTATGCAGCCACCACTGGAATCGTGATCCCTGAATAAATGGATCTGTTATGATAGCATAGGTAATAATAAACATCGTCACTGTCGCTAAAAAAAGCCTACGTTTGTTTTATTTCACAGTATCAGTCTTGTCGGGGCTAAAATAAGCTATGCATTAGCTATAGCATTACACTAGCATAAAAATAATAATGGCCATTATTATTATTATTATGATGGCTATTTTGTCATAACATTGAAGTAGGCTATTATTGATAACAGCCAGGCTATAGTCTTCCAGCTTAACATAGCCTACCTGTGGCAGATTGAATGACAGCAGTTGTTGTACTGGAGGCGTCCACCCGGCTTTTTTACAAACGGGAATTTTAGCTTAGCAATAGAATATAAAAACAACTAGAACAAAAGTTGCTAGGTAACAGTGGCGTGCATCTTCAACCGCGGGAAAAGAATCGCAAAAGCAGAAATTACGTGCCGTCTGTAATGCGGTCGGTCAGTTTGACCGCTTTGGCCATTCAAGGTACAAACTTTTGTGAACTCTTTTGTGTTTTGCAATTTTAATAAAATAATGTCATAAAATATAAACACATTTAGGAAAAGTCAGGGTATTATAGTTGTATGTGCTTTATTTCAACAAAGTTATTACATTTTAAAATTGAAAAACAGTCAAAATGACTGCCTTGGTAGTTCTAGTGCTAAAAGCACATTTTGGTTCATATTCACCGTGTCCCAGAGTAGCACGGTTGAATACACTTTAGTTTATCTTAAGAAGTACTAAAGAATAATTTTTAGTATATCAAGTACAAAATTAGTGCGTGAAAATAGAACACTTCAAGTACATTAAGGAAATGCACTTTTTTTTAACCTGGGATAACAAAAAACAAAATCTGGTTAAAAATGAGTGTACGATACCTGCCGCTGCCGGTGCTGCTGGTGCTGCTGACCGAATCGGAGCTGGAAGACGGGCTGCGCGAGCGTGACCGCGGGACCCGGCCGGGCGACACAGGGGCTCTTTTGGGCGAGTGGGCGGCTTTAGGAGTCTGCCGAGCCGGGCTGGAGATGGTGAAAGGGTCACGAATCCGAGACTCGAAGTGTGACTCCGGCGCATCGAAGCCACCGCTGATAGCACTGGCAGCCGGGCTTGAGCTCACCCCGGAGGTGAACATCGCGCGGTCCCGGTAATACTCCGTGTTGTAGTGCCGCGGCCGGTCGAAGGAGCTGCTGCGCTCGTGGTGTCCATACGGACTGTGATCGTACGCTCGCTCCCGACTGTCCGAGCCGCTGCTGCGAGAGAGACAGAAAGAGACACAACAGAAAAGGGAACACACACACTTAGAATCGGACCGGATCCATGGCAAACGCCTAACACAGGAACTCAAGTACACCTCGTCATCCAAAACCTAGCGGGCCAGGTTGCGGAGCCACAATTTAACGAGCGAAATCACAAGCACGCGTCTGATAGACTGAACTTGGCTGAGGCTCTAACGCGCTTCTAAACGAATCATGCAGTGATTCGCTGAACGTTTAACTCAGGACGAATGAACCATGCTGGCTATCTGGCTCTGAACACTGGAGGGGAAATCAGACAGAAGAGCGGAAACACTCGAACAGAGGGGTTAATAATAGCACAAGGGTTAGCTCTAGGGTTAGTGAAGAACAGGGGTTAAGAGACAGGGTGCATGTCTAGGTTAGAGAGAGAAAGCACAGAGAGGCATAAGGCAGGGCAATACCAACCTTTTCAGAGCAGTAACTGACCCTAAATATTCCCAATACAATACAGGAGGAATTTTGTGTGAGCCAAAAACAGCGATGGCGTAAGGGGGAAAAACACGGCGATACAGTCCCACTATGCAAAAAGGTTCTTCGTCCAAAGAGGGTCGCGTCAGCATCAGGCCATCCATCACAAGGCACTACAGGAGACTTCAGTCTAGAAAAAGGGAACATATTCCAAAAAGAATGTTCCAAAAGGAATAAAACAAAGCTGTCCATTGGTGGAATAATCCGAACGACAAAAACACAGCTCTGCGGGATGAAAAAAACAAAAACGTAATTCCAGCACATTATGACTTCTACCGTAGATCCACTGGAGATCAGGTAATCCAGCAAAAGCCTCGATCTACACCTATACATCCAACATGAGGTTAGATCCGTGGGAATCTTCCCGTGACGACGTCTTCTGGTCTTCGAGGCTTCGTAAAGGTATCCAAGCGCGGGCGTCACGTGGTCTCTAAGAATGACGTGCGGTGACAAGGAGGATGGAGATGATGAACCCTGACACACTTACTCCTTGCTCCAGCGGCGCGCGACTCCGCTCCTAAATCCACGGCAGTGATACACATCCACGGCATGACAGACAGTTAGCACAATGACCAAATGGGTGATGGGATAGTCGTGCAAGGCAAATGAGAAGGGACAAAAAGCTTCGCGACAACTCGTAACTACGTTCCGGTTAAAAACCTTGCTTTTAATCCGTCATCGGCACATACTTCCAAAGAGCGCTGTTCCAAGGCGGCGGGGTAATATCCGAGATTCTGCGAACGCCTAATATCCAAACTCACCCGTTACGTCTCCGCCAGCCATCGTAATATCCAAACCGACCGGGATATTCTCCACGTGGGTAATATCCAACTCAGACGAGGGCTATGGCTCACACAGTAATCCCACACCAATCTAATCCACTCATTCTTACACGATAGACAAGGATTAATAATTCCGTGTGCAGGAAGTCAGGCCTCAGAACGGAGAGGGATCCCTAGAATCTGGTCTATTGTGTTTAACCCAACCTGAACCCCTGTATCTGACACCACAGGCCCCCTGTAGTGCAGAGGGAGCCTGTGTCCACTTACCCGTCTAGTCTGCGTTCATAGCGCCCCTCTCTGGTGTGGAGAGACACCGGGGGCCCGTACACCGGCCCCACGGCGCTCCTCGAGAACCCTGCAACCTCCCTTCCGTGACTGCTAGAGGGGGTGGGGTCCTCCAGACCACGCACGGCGCTGGGAACTGAACCCGGCTCATTGTAATCTGTGCGAAGGTCTCTGTCCCCCATTTTGTTGACGGCATTGTGCGCCTTCTGGGCGCTTTTGAGGTCTACGAAATCTACGAAGGCCGCCACGCCGCCCTCGGAGCCGCGCTTGCGCAGGACCTTGACGCTCTCCACCCGGCCATACCTGTGAAGAAGAAGAAACCAGGCGCTGTAAAGGTCATGTGATCGTCGGCCACATTACAGTTCAACGTAGGGCTGCGTGATTAATCAAATGCGTATCATGCGTACCTTGTCAGCAAAGACGGTTCTGTGATTAGTAGTAAATTTCCATCACGTGCTTTCAGATGGAGCAGCGTTTACAACACAGAGCCGTAGCTCTCGGACAAGCTACACCAAAAAAACATTTTTTTTTTTAATTTGCAGGCGATATAGTCACGCGATTATGAAATCGAAGAAATCATTCGCGATAATGACAGCTGTTTGCGTAGCTTCTCCGTGAACTACGGCTGTGTGTTGTAAACGCTGCTCCATTTGAAAATAACATTTAATAAGATGTTTTTACTCCAAACTCACTTCATAACGTCAGTCGAGTGTTTGTAATAAATCCTTCTGTGAGATGATGTGGCTCCTTACACTGAATAAGGCACGCAACATATTTCATAGTATTCTAAGCAGCGATAAAGGCATTGCATTATTATATACTTTATTATAATAAACATTATAATAAGAAGAACTCAGATAAACCATATATTGTCGCAGTCGTGTGTTTATTAGTCTCGCTGAATCAATGAAAGCAGTTAAATCTTCTGTTTATTCAGCTAGCGCTATTTCCTGGGTTTCTTCTGAGTTTCTCTGGCCTTCGGATGGAGATTTACTACTAATCACAGAACCGTGCTTCACTCACGAGATGCGCATGACTATCACAACTTTTGCCTAATCGTGATTTCATTTCGATTTATCGTGCAGCCCTAGGTCAACCTGAGAGGAAGTGTGATGTTTTTTTAAATGTCAAAATTCACTTTCTGAACTTTTAAGCCCCATTCACACCAAGATCGATAACTATAAAGATAACGATATTACCATCCACGCCAGAGGACGATATCGTCTGTTTATTCTAAGCACACGCGCGTCTGCCGCTTTAAATTCTCCAGCTCGTTACAGCAGGATGGATTCTGATTGGCTGTCAGTGTTTGTATCGTTCATCAGCTGGAAAAAATCGTTCTAAAAGTGATTCCAACGATATCGTTTCTCTTTGTCTTTATCGTTATAGCTGTGGTGTGGACTCTGCTATTCTTTAATATTGAGAACGATTTTTAGAACTATATCTTTATCGTTTTCGTCCTTGGTGTGAACGGGCCTTTGGACCTTATGTTCGTTTAACAGCTGACAATGACATTAGGTGCGTCCCAAATCACGTACCTATGCACTATTCTATGACGTTTTGTGGTATAAATAGTGCGAGTAGTGCATTCACACCGAAGATTACAAAAATAAAAAGTGTTGCAGCTTTAATTACATAGCGAAGGGGGCGGAGCTATCACTCAGAGTATGAATGACCAACTATCCTTATATAATTTATACACTACGTTCAGTATATAGTGCATAAGTACATGCTGAATAAGTGCATCAATTGGGATGCAGTTAATGTTTACATGGACATCAGTAATCTAATTATTTACCTTATTCTGAATAAGGCAATATTATGATTAAGGTGTTGACACGAGTTGCTTTTAGAATCCTTTCATGTTCCAGTACATAGATCTATTAACGGTCATTACGTCCCCACGCCACGCCCTCCACAGTTTCACATATCGACATATAGTTGGTCTTCGTTATTGTGCCATGTACAGTTTTGGGTGTTTCGTTTTTAATTTTAGGCCCGCTTCAAGTGCAGTTAACTATTTGGCATGCTATACGTGCCAGCAGATGACGGCGTTTCTCTTTAGTTAGCCGTGTGTGTATCCTGATTAAGGTGTGCATGTCTGTGCTGCGCTACGATAATGCGACTAAAATAGGAATACTCCCGTTCACACTACGATCTCAAAGCGATTTCACACAGTACACTGATTCAGTTCACTCCACGGACATGGACGTCCAGAGCTTCGTTGTACTTCAGGAACACAGCGGTTATTGTGTTACACGCAACGGCAGATTCTCGAGCGAGTTTCTGTTTCTTCGGACGGAATCGGTTCCCGCTGCTAAACCGGCTCAGCGCTAGCAGCGAGCTAACCGCTAACACGCACACAAACACTCGCCGCTCCCCGAAGCTAGCTGCTTAACTCGTCGGAGACGGATTCGCTGTGTTTCTGAACTCCCCGTTAAATCGCGTCTGCGGCTCGTTCCGGTGTTTTAAACGGCTCTCGTCGGCGCTTCATCGCTGGTTTTCCGCCATCGCGCGCTGAGGCGGGTTGTGTCCGCGCCAGGCCGCGTCGCTGCTTGTGTAACTCACCGTTTAAAATGCTCCACAATCTTCTCCTCGCGAACAGACACATATATATATATACACAGACACATATATACACACACACACAGACACATATATACACACACACACACACACTCACAGACACCTCACAGCGGTAACAGTCCTAGATTTTCACTCAGCTAGCACAATATGTTCCAAGAGCCTTATTTTTGAATCTTTTCAGAATGTTCCGGTTTTTAAATGTTTAAGGGAACATTCCATTGGATCATTTTGCAAACGTAACTTTTGAATGTTCACTGTACGTTCTGAAACAAAGTAACGTTTAAAAAAATCCAACTGAAAACTACGGAGGAGGATAAGATCCAAGCAATAATAAAAAAAAAAGATAAATCCATCTCGAGATTAAAGTCATTATAATGTGTGATTAAACTTGTTGAATTTTCGAGAAAAATGTCAAAATAAAATGTTGAGAATAAACTGATTTTATTTAGACATTTTTCTCGGAATTTTCTCGAAAGTTACAGAAATGTAAGTGTTGTCCTCTTAATTACAAGTTGAATAATAATAACAATAATTTAAATGCAGTATAACAGAATGCTATACACAAAATTTATAAAGTACACAAATCTTTCAGATTAAAGTGCAAAAAAATAATACTAAATATAGAAGCCCACTTTCACCGCAGGATAAAAAACGTCATTGCAATACTGAGAAAAAAAGTCAGAATTGCCAGATATAAATCAGGATGATGAGTTATATCTTTGTGAGATAAAAAGCTATTTTTGTATCCCACTGCGGAAACTGGCTTCCATAAATAACAATTAAACGAACATCTTATCTTGCATCTTTTAGTCCAGATACAAATGTAGAAATGTTTAGGATTTCACAAATATTTGACATTAAATAATAAGAAATGATTTGATAAACACTGTCTAATACAAGCATTTTAATATGTGTTTGACTCCCTTTCTTCTCCATGCCGAGCAGGTGTCAGAAACTGATGGCTGAGTTATTTTCACAGGAGTCAGCTGAACTCTCTATAAAGGGTCCAGTGCAGATGTTTGGCCCTGATGACCGAACAGCTGAGAAGAGATGATGCAGACCCTCAAACAACACACAGAACTAACAAACTTCGCTATAAGTTTAATCACAGCATATAATCACTGCAGTTAATAGTGTTCACCATCTGTTTGTTCACACGTCATTAACTAACTGCATGATTTTACCGTACATTTCTGCATATGGACATCAACTTGAGAGAGTCACCACTGATAAGCTACTACTAAATATGTGTCCCTGGCTCCTGCAGCACAAAAGCAGTGTTAAGTCGCTGGGGTATATTTGTAGCAATAGCCAACAATACATCGTATGGGTCAAAATTATACTTTTTTTTTTATGCCAAAAATCATTAGGATATTAAGTAAAGATCATGTTCCATGAAGATATTTTGTAAACTACCTACCGTAAATATATCAAAACTTAATTTTTGATTAGTAATATGCATTGTTAAGAACTTAATTTGAACAACTTTAAAGATGATTTTCTCAATATTTCGATTTTTTTGCACCCTCAGATTCCAGATAGATGTATGAATGACGTATAAATCTCAATTTAAAAAAATTGACCCCTGTGACTGGTTTTGTGCTCCAGGGTCACATATAATGTAGAAACTTTAAAATAGAAACTTACATTTCCAATTTCCAATTTCTATCGTGAAAAGCGCTATACAAATAAACTTGAATTGAATTGAATGTAAAGGCGAGGTTACTCACTCACTCACACACAGACACTCACACTCTCTCACACACACACACACTCACACTCACTCTCGCACACACTCACTCTCACACACACACACACACACACACACACAC